TGAAGCCGCGGTGAGGGGAACGGGGCTGCGTGGGTCTCCCTGAGGAGGGGCTGCAGCTGGCGCCTCCTCTGCGGTCGCTCCCTAGCGGGGTGGTGGTGGTGGTGTACCCTCAATCCAGGAGTAGATAAAACCTAAATTTTGGGGGGATTGTCTTCTTACATAAAACCGTAGTGTTTGTTTAAAGCACTTTCCTCCCCCTTACTAACAGACCCTAGTCGCTGTTTCAACATGAGAATGTGTTAGAAAGCGACTGGAGACCTGCAGAGCTGTTTTATATCTCTGAGACTGTTCCTTGCCAACATGAAGATTCCAGGGATTTTATTGCATCTGGTAGGCGTGAGGCATCTGATAGCACCAGGCAGAGGGAGACTCTGCACGGCGTTTTAGCCCTTGATTTGTCTCGTGGCTGGAACTGGAAGATGGAAGTAACTGAACGCTTGCAGTACTCTTGCTAAAGATTACAGTTGGTTTTTCAGGAGCCTTAATCTTTAAATTGAGATTTCTACCCAAAGAGATGTGTTATTTGGAGATTGTTGGCTGAGTAGAAACAAAAATAGGACTAAATTATTATATTGGCTGCCTGTCACCTTTGGTTTTCTAGACTCTGAGCACCTATTAAAATCTTTACAAAAGTTGTTGGAAAGATAGACTACAGTATCCTGGGGGAAACTGCGAAATTCTGAGTTCTCATGCTATGACTTCAAAACTTGTAATGAAATACGTCTTCTCTTCTTTCCATACGCACCTCTGTCTGCAAAGAAACTAGTGAATAGTCCTCCACTTACAAGTGGGTGTGTGTGTTTTGTATAGTCTAGATAATGGCAGCAGCAATCTTTAGCTGCATGTGCAGCTTTAGTATAAAACGCATCTGTGATGCTTTTGAAAGGAACTTGAATCAGGCAACTGCCTGATGCAGAAGCTAGTCTTTTGGTCAGGGCATTTTTCAACCAAATCGTTTATGATGCAGCAACACAAACACCTCTGCCACCACAGGAGTATGAGGAAAGAGGAATGGTAACTCTTTCCAGCAGTGGATTCATGCTGTTTTGAGCCAGACAGCTAGTCATTGAGCTATGTTGCCCCAAACTCGTACCTTTTATGTCTGAGAGAGGTATTTTTTTAATGCTATGCTTCACAACATGTGAAACATACAGAAAAGGTACAGTAATGTGCTGCAACATTTTTCTAGCACCAGAAGATGGAAGGGAGTCTTAATTGAAACCAAATACCATTAAGAAAAACTGAGAGCAGTAGGAGGATAGCAGGTCTGTTGAGAGAGAAGATACTTACATTTTCAGAGAATGGAAGCTTTCTGAAAAGTTAATTTTAAAACTTCTGTTTCACAGTAGGCCCTAAGCAGGTCTACAGAGATGGAAGAATGAAGATCTTACCTCAGTCTTCCCCTGCCCATTCTCCTCTTTGTCCTTACAGAGATCATTAGTGCTTTTATACTTAAATCAAGCTATAGTTTTTACCTTAAAACAGTTACTAGGTTTTGATTTAACTTTTCTGTGCTTATCTAGCTGTTGGATGAAATGTTGTGGGCAGACAAGAATGAAGCATTAAAGAAGGCTCTGTTTCGTGGTGATGTGCCATTAATTGAAGAACTCTTAAACTCCGGTGAGGAAAGTCAGTTTAAAAGTTGAATGTTTTTAATTGAACTTGGCAAGAATTCTAAACCTCTGAAATTTCTTGTTTCAAAATAATGTGTTGAGTGCATGTAGGAATAAGTAAATGTTTCCAATACAGGATCTAAACTCTTATTTTAAAGATTAAATTACTTTTTCAGTGACTCAGTATGCGATATCTCAGCAAATTCCTTCTAATTTATATGTATTTCATCAGTCAGGGGCCCTGAAAATAGAGGAGATTTTAACGTGTGGACTATGAAATAAGGTGTTTCTTTGTTTTCAGGTGTATCTTTAACCTGAAAATATCCATTACAAACACTGAATTTGAGGTAGTTTAATTTGAGAGTGAGAATTCAGTGGGTGGTCTTACTTTGATGTTGAAGGTTGCTGGGGGGGTGAAGGGTTGGGGGGGGGGGGGCAGGAAGGAGAGGCGGGCTTTTTTTGTTGTTTTAACGCTCCCCCAGTTTGGAAATTCATCACTTCCCGCCCTTCACAGCACTGTAAAGTTTTGTGCCCTGTGTAATACTGCTGTCCTGGCAACATCAGCTGGACAAAGATTTTGTGATTTTGAAAGTTCTAATAGGGTTTATGTGATGTTTGTCACTAAAAGTAGTTTGACCTAACACTAAGAGCCTTTCTCCCTGTTCTGTTACTCAGTATTTGTCTGTAATGTGTTTCTGTTATTCAGTGTTAGGGGAGTTGGATCACTTACTGAAGCATCCAGGGCAATCAAAAACTGCATAGCTGAGCTGACCTGCCTAGTGATAATTGTCGGGAAGTTCTGCTTCAGCAAGCAAGCAGAATATAAGTAGCCAAGAGCTTGTTCTCTGAGGAAAATCTGTCATATGGCTGGAAGAAAGTAGCTTCCTAGTTAGCAATGGGTTTTTCTGAGTTTTAAAACAATGACATTACTTGCCCTTTCAGAAAAAGACAGTTTCTCACCACGGCAGGGGAATAGTTTTCTTTTTATATTAAGTAAAAACTATTACGTAGGCTAAAACACAGCAGTGTAATACTGAGTGAAATACATTTTCTGTCTTGCTTTGAGAAAATTTGTTGCCATTCATAGGTAGAGCTTTTAGTCATGTCTGTGCATCAGATTGCTTAATTGTTTTGTTACAGCCATCCGTTTTTAATTGCTTGTATTTCAAACAGCAATAGCTCACATTCTGTGTTGATGCCTGCTGCATAATGAGCAGTTCTATGACGTTGGAAGATGATGATGGGTGTCTGTAAGAGCGTAAGGTCAGGCCAAAGATTCCTGTAGCCTAGTGTCCTGTCCCGTGAAATGCAGAAGGCAGTATTCACAAGAAAATCTAGCATTTTCTGAAAATACAGTTAACAGTAAGTTTTGATCCATCCAGTACTATCCAGCAGAGCAGTAGAGCACAAGGCCTTGCTAGGGTGGTGTTTCTGAAGAAAGGTAACATTGTCCTTCAGAGGATCAGTGCTCAGTCAGATTAGATCTTTGCCTCCAAAGTTGCCTTTAATGTATGTTCAGTAGACCTTGTAGGAGGCTCACTACCAGCACTTGACCAAACTCAGGGTTTGTGTTGGAAGTGGATTTCCTAGCAACAGTAGGGGCCATTCTTTCAAGTACAGTGAGAACATGTTGTCGTCTGGCTTGCTTAGCCATTGCTTTAATAATCTTTGGCGCTGAGGCAGTTTTACGGAGCTCCTTTAGGTGATGGACAAGCACAATGTCTTCTCTTACCCCTCCTATAAAATGGCAACATACTGAGAACAAGTTTCTGGAGTACAGGTCACAAAAAGTAATGTAAGCAAGTAGCAGGTTTGAAGGTGACTTTGGTGTTTTGTTCTGTTTTGGGAGTAAAATACTTGACACCACGTAATTCATCTGCTCATTTTCCTCAAATGAAATTAAAAGTTATGACCTCATGATAGTTTAGGCTGACGAAAGATACAGCTACGGTCAAATCCTCTATCTTGTTTTCATTTGGCAGTCTGTTCCACTCTTGTCTTTGCATGAGTGCTGGAGCTCATCTAATCTTTTGTGAGCCAGTTCAGGGAATTAAGGTAGTGGTAAACTATGGGAGTGGAGTGTGTGTGTGAATAATTTTTCAGCCAGTTTAGGACTCTGAACCCTGAGTCAGATGGGAACCTTAGCTTATTCAGCAGTGGGAGACTGCAGCAACTCTGATTTAACTCCGCTTTAAGGTATTGTGGAATCACAGAATCACGGATCTGTGATCCATCACTTTGTGCTGACAGACTTAATAGAAATCAATACTTCTATTGGAGAGAAGTCTTCTAGAATCAAGCATTTTAGAACTCTCCCGTCAGGTAAATTGGGTCTGAATGTGAATGGATTCTAATACTAAGAGCTGTTCTTAAAATAAATGAAAATCTTTCAAGATCTCTTTTTTTTTTTTGTATCAAACATGGAATTATATAGCATAAAAAGCTCTATGTAGACATTGATTGTAGTTTTTCAGGCATTACCTTGTTAACCTTTTTAATTTGAGGTTACATTTTTCTGTATAAAAACAGCATTTATACTATAACTATTATTAGCCACAGCCAACATAATATCTGAAAGAGGTACTGGAGAAACTGTAGTGAACACAGAAAGAATGTCATTCTGCCTTCACTGTGCTTTTGCTTTGCTGTTATTCACATGCTTCATATAGTTTCCGCTGCAGAGCGTGTCTAGGGCCAGGACATAGTTCTTCCCATTCCTGGTTAAAGAGGGGGATAGTGGTTTGTAA